AATGTGAGTGCTTCCGTATACTGAACGGCTCCCACCCTGCCCTCATCCAGCCCCGACCTCCCCCACACTGCAGAATGGTCTGCTGGCGATCAACGCCTCTGTTTGAATGTTGACAGGAAATCTCAGATCGACGTGTCTGATGTTGAACTTGGTGCGGTGATGCCCCTTGCAGCCTTTTGATCTTCCCGATGGCAGCTCTGCCCTTTGCGTTGCGGGGTCAGAGACCTTAGCTCTCCTTTAGCTCCTCTCTTCACCACTCCCCACCCTCATCTGTCAGCAGATCCTGGTGGTGTTCCCATCGGAATATTTCCAAGGTCCTAACCAGCATGATCTCTCACCGGGGTTATTGTAACAGGTCGCCTCCACAGGGCCTGCAGCCCAGCCCTCCTCTGCTCAGACCCCTCTCCGGGCTCCCTGCCTGGCTCTGCATAAAAGCCAGCACTCTTACTGTGGTCTCTTTGGCCTCCGCTCCTCCTCTCCCCTGCCTCGCCTCTGGCTGCTGGAGTGCTCTCTGAACATACCCGCTGTTTTCATGGGCCTCACCCGGCTCCCCCGCCTGGAGTGTTCTTCACCCCGATGGCCTCCGTTTTCAGGCCTTTGCTCTCTCCGACCACCCTGTGTAAAATTTCAACTCCTGCTCCCTTGGCTCCTTCACCTTCTTCCGCCAGAACGTGCGCTTGTACTGGTGGGAAGGTCTCTTGCTGATGTGTCACCAGGGCCCAGAACAAGGTCTGGCACATCATGAGCTCTCATCAGATATTTGCTGAATGAATGCCTTTAAACAGGATGTCGTAAGCTTTGATGGTTATTAAACATAAAACAGCGTTTCATCTGAAATGGATCTGAGAATGATGGAGTTACCGTTAGCGTTTTTCTCTGATTTGGTTGATGGATTTGTAAATGACTGTTCCTTTATGCCACAGAGAAGGAGTGCCCGTTTTCTTCCTTCATTTTGTTTTTATAGATGTAGACACTGAAGACTGCCTGATGAGAGAGGCATGGGAGGTGTTTTGTCACAGCTATGACATTCCATCCTTGGACTTCAGAATCCTGTATTTTCTTGATCTTTCTGCTGACTGTTAGATCAGGTTCCTCCCTCCATTTTGCTGAAAGCAGAGAACTGGAACCCGTCTGACTTGGAAAAGACTTTCTGAACACAGACATCAGAGCCCCTTAGCATCACGGTTTCTGAGGCGTTCATAAAAGCCACTTTCCCAAGACCTGTCAGCTGACCATTAATCATCCCTGTCTTCACTTGGAAGCATCTTGTTTTATCTGAGATTCTCAGGAAGAGTTGAGAACTTTGAGATATTGGTTTTGTTGTACCCTTACCAATGTAAAAACTTAATGCTTTGTACTTCCTCAAAAGCTGGAAGCTGCAGGTTTAGCTCATTCAATGAATAAGAAATATCTCTCCGATGCTTTAGTAGGCAGAACCAGTTCTGATTGTCAGCTCAGTCAGCAGTCAGACTCACTCTCTCTTGGGAGAAGTGTTACTTATTTCTGGGATGTGCCATCCGCCGCCTCACTTCCGAGTTTAATTGCGGGCAGTTAGGTGAGGCTTGGACCCAGTCACCTGGGCAGAAGAAGGTGCCATATGCCTGTGGCTTATTGATTCCCTGTTTGCTTGCTTCTCACAGTGATCATGTGTTCTTTTACAGTCCTCTAGGGATTGAATTCACTAAATGAAAACTTTTTAAATTTTTTGTTTTTATTTATTTTTGAGAGAGAGAGACAGAGGGTGAGCAGGAGAGGGGCAGAGAGAGAGGGAGACACAGAATCCCAAGCAGGCTCCAGGCTCTGAGCTGTCAGCACAGAGCCCGAAGTGGGGCTCGAAGTCACGAACCGTGAGATCATGACCTGAGCCGAAGTTGGATACCCAACTGACTGAGCCACCCAGGTGCCCCAAAGCCTCTAAGTGAAATTTTAATCCTTGCTGCCATCAGACTCCACAAGATGTCTGAATTCAAGACATTCCAATATGAACTGGGATGTCTTCTTTATAACACCATACTTTGCCCTTAACAGAACTGGGTGTCAGATGGGGAAAGCACAACCCTGCCACGTGCCTCCATTTCCTGTGACCTTTGTCCACTGGGATGTTTGTGCCTTGGGGCAGTGCATCATGGTAAGAAGAGAGCTGAGAAGTCAACCTTCTGCTTCTAGTGGGAACAGCTATGAGAAGGGAGAGGGAAGGAGTGGCCAGTGGGAGTCTGACCTCGTGAGACTGTCAGGCAGCTTTCTTTTAGGGAATGCACCCGGACACTGGCCACCTAGAAGTGGGTTCTCCTGGAGCTGTTTGTGCCCACATACCCCTCGGCCAGTCTCCTCCCAGGAATACCCCTAACCTGGCTGAAAGTCAGTGGCATACGGTTCCTCTCCTTGTAACCCTGAGGGGCGGGGATAGGCCGGCCCAGTGAGCTGGATGCCAGGAACTTTCCTGCTGCGTTTCACTGTTGTACTCGAACTGTTGTCCCAGTTATCTGAGAAGCAGGAGGTTTTCAGTCGCGGCAGCCTAACACAGTGACGCAGTGGGCCGTCCCAGACTTGGATGTGGCACACGCTGGGTTACGGACGCTGTACACGAACACCGTGCCTGCTGGTCCAGAGCTGCGCGGCCTTTCTCAGTCTCCACCCTGCAAGGCGCCAGCTTGGGAGCCGGACCCGCGAGATGGGTCAGCAAGAAGTCTTCACTGGGGCCTTCGCTGAGAAAATCACAGGAAATAAGAGATGCTCTTAAGTGTGTTTCCTCTCCGTACAGTCTGCTTGCTCCCCAGCTGCTTTTTAAGTAGGACATGGCGTTTCTAGGCAAATTCAATAAATAAATAGAGTGGCTCGGGTCCCAAAGCTGTGTATGTCCTTAGACGAGACAAGGAGTGCTGCCTCAGCAGCAGATCATTCTCCTGACACAGACAAAAACTAGAACTCTCCGCTTCCTGTGTGTCTTCAACCAGTTCAGAGATGATAAATTGTAGTAATTATTAAATGAGAGCTTGGCTAGGACAGAGGAGTATGGTAAAATCAAACCCGCATTAGACCAAATCACAGTTTCTTTGGAACTGGTTGGCAGCCTTGTTGAAACTATATAATCGTGAAGTGGAAGGCCAACTAGATAAAAACCACAGTGTGGCAGGACGCGGTGGCTGGAGCACAGCCTGGAGGAGCGAGAACAGGCGAGAGCAGACGCGGCGCTGCACCGGGAGCTGGGGCGACAGCACGCACAGCGCCCACCACACCGCTTGCAGAGCCCAGCGCCAGATCCCCCTGCCGCGGTGGGCGCCCGGTGACACAGGAGCCTCGCAGCCGCAGAGCCTCTGGTGGGCATGGCTGTGCTCTCATGACTTCATACCTGCGATGCCCCTTGTTTGCAGAGTTCTTGTATGTGGAGGGAAAATTTTTCCCCCAAAACAGTCTTTTCTAAAGACTCTCGGTGCTGTCAGTCACTGATCCAGGGGTACCAGGGAGGGCTAGAAATAGCCGTAGCAGATGAGTGGGGAAGGGTAGAATAATCTAGGCCGTATGATGGTCGAGGCTAGCAGTGAGGAAGAACATGCTGCCTCGTTCCCGTGAGTGAGTGGGCTGCAAAGTACATGAAACCATAAGATCGCTGTGAGAAAGTAGGGAAATCAGATGTTTCTGTCATCTGGGTTGGGAAAGATCTTTGTAAGCACAGGACCAAAGACAAACCACAGAAAGACGGGCTTCAGGGTGAGAAGTAGTTGAACCACAAAATCAGTGATAAACCAGCAGACTAAGAAACACTGTAAAAATACAAAAGGCAGAGGTTGATCTTCCTAAGAGCTTTTCTATATTGGTAGTTAAAAGATGAATACTTCGGTGATAAAAGGACAGTTAAAGAACATCAGTCATTTGGTTCTTGCTTTAAAAATGACCCATAATATGAAATAAATTTCAGCCTCACTGCTTTTCAGATGAATGTAAAACAGAAATACGGTCTTTCTCCTCTGTCACACTGGCAAAGAATGAAAACATTGGGGTCTGTAAATGTTGACACAGTCGCGGAAAATTGTTGTAGTGATGATCTGTTTGACACTAACAACTCTGTGTTAAATATTTTATGTAAGCAGCTGAGGGAAGCAATAATATGTAGTATTGTTGATTTGTTCACAGTGATAAATATTTAGGGGAAAGTTGAACTTTCTTATTAAAGATGGTGTTAATTTTGCCAGATTGTGAAGTTCAGAGTAACTGAAAACCCCGGTGCATTTCCGGCTTGGAGCGCAGGCGTGAGCGCCCTCTGCTGGCAGCACACGAGTAGCGCCCACAATTCACCCGCAGGCCAGGCTCGCCTGGGGTGGGTGGACTCTTAGCAGAAGCAGAGGCGGCTGGCGCAGTTGCAACTGTGCTGTGGGGTCTGTGACCTGGTGCCACCCTGCCTCCACACGTCCTCCTGCATGCCCACCGGTGCCCTCCAGCCCCGTTCCAGGGGGCGCGCTCTGTTCAGAAGGCTGCACCGAGCACTCAGCCAGTCGCCTCGCAAGTGTTGACTGTGCACGCTCGCTGGGGCAGGGGCTTGTGTGGTTCAGTGCCTGTCCCCAGGGCCTGGAGCACCCCTCGGACCTGACACTCTCATGGGACAGCCAGCCGCAAAGAGATGACCTTGCAGCTTACCCAGGATGGTTACCTGTCATGAGATGTGTTTGAAGGGGGCACACCGGTGCTGTGATGCAGATTGGGACGGGGCTGAGGTGAGAACAGGGCTACCCGGGCCGGCTCTGGGCGACTGAGGGATGCCAGCGCCTCCCCTGAGCGCACATGGCCGGCGAGGAGACGGACAGCAGGCAGGGTTGCGGGGAGCCGATTTAAGTTCATCATCAGGGCAGGGGCAGGATTTGGTGACGTGAGGAAGGAATCTTGCAGTCTTGTTTTTTAACTCTTAATTCTCTGTTTTTGCCGTATCCTAACATAGTGTTTGCTTTCTGTTAACTTTTTTTTTTTTAATTTAAAGGATTTTTTGTTTTGTTTTGTGTTTTTGATAGATGAGGGTTACTACCAGGGTGGAAAATTTCAGTTTGAAACTGAAGTTCCTGATGCGTACAACATGGTGGTGAGTAGCCTGCGTTTGAGCCGTTGTTTCCCCTTTGCGTGGCTGGGTGGCCGTCCCGGGGCCCAGCACACCCCCACTGCATTGGGTCCCCCCAGTCCTGGGACTGAGTACAAAATGGCCAATATTTCTGGTTGGTGTTACTCGTCAGCAGGATTTAGAGCCTTAGGGGGAGATTCATTTCTCAACAAGTACTTGGGACTACTGTGTGCCAGGCAGCCTGCACTGGGACCTCCGCTCTGCCTAGGCTGGCACCTTCCCTGGGAGCTGCCTGTATGGTTCATGGAAATCCTATCTGTTACATTCTAGCACTGAAGAGGAAGGCATTTTATTTAAAACCGTAGTTCTGTTCACGGTATGGCACCAAAACCCTCGAAGTGTAGAAAACATGTACTTAAGAATTTCAGAAAAGAAGAATGCCTTATAGGTTTAAACCATAATTTATACCCATAGCTACATGTTAATCTCTCAAAGACCCACCCTAGGTAATATTCACACCAAATACTGTCACATTCTATCTTTATCAGTTAGGAAGGTGAGACAAAGTAGAAAGTTACCATAGCGTGAGAAAAGCAGTGAATAGCAGACAACAGAGCTATCGAGCAGGGACAGGAAACTAATTTACGTGAATTCAGAGAAGGAAAGGAGAGGGTCATTTTGGGAAAGTGGTCGGGCCATTTGAGCTTTAAGGAGGAACAGGATTGGACTTGTCCTGACTTGGTTGGCCCATAACCAGGGGAGGGTGGTGTTGAGGTGACGTCGAACTTTCTGGAACTGTGTTGACAGGTACAGAAATGAGAATTAGCAGCCTGCGTGCGGTGGATTGACCAAGTCGACCTGAAGGAAGAATCAGGGTTGGGGAGTAGTGGGGAGGAATGAGAAACTCAGATTTGAGGGTTGTTGAGCATTTTCGCTTTGGCCTGAGAAACTAGTGACAGTTGGGAACATCTTCACAACTTTGTATTTATATATATGTGTGTAAACATCCCCCTGATGCTTCCTAGCCCTCTCTAGGCTTATCAAACAGGAAAGAAAAATCCACTGGTAAAATTAAGCCCCTTGTTAACCTGAGGCTGCGGATACTGGGGACACCACGTGTCCAGTCACTTTACCTGCAGTGACTCCGTGTTGTCTGACAAGTGGGATTAGGCTCCCCTGCCCTGGGCCCTGGGCCCTGGCCCCACCAATGGGGTGCAGTTCAGGGGCTGCCACACTTTTTTGTGTGAAGCCAAACCTTTACCTTTACGGGGCTACGACATTAAAATTTCTTTCTGAACGTAGCTTATGAGGATGGGGTAGAGTTGGCAGTAAGGGAAAAAGTCTATTTTGAAGCAAAGACAGGAAAATAGGCATTTCAGGTCTTTGTCCATCCAGCTACCTACTGACTTTGCATATTCCCCTAATCACAGACCGAGGAGTCTGGCTCCACAGAACCCCGTACTCCCTCAGGTGAGATGTGGCTGGAAAGGTTTGGCTTCAGCACAGATGTTTACAATTCCAGAGGCTATTTTGATGTTTTCTGGAAACAGCCAGGCATACGGTACTTAAGATTCCAGGCTTTTCAATTATCTGGACGTACTCTTAAGGATTCCTCATCCAAAGAATGTTAAATTAAAGGATGGTAAGTTTGTGACAGTCTTTTTGGAGAGGCAGTGAGTGTTTGAGGAGGGGGGTGGCTTGGGGAGGGCCTTAGCATGAGCTGGTAGACTTTTCCAACAAGCCTTGCGGGATCTGAGACCCGCTGTCGCGGGTACGTGAGGCACCACTGAGTAGCGGAGTGTCGGAAGAGGGCGGAGCATGAGAAGATGCCAAGGAAGGAACCGAGTTTTGTTGAGAGCTTTCATGTGCCAGGTGCCCCCGCTCACTTGTGTCCCTCCCCGGGAGTTCCCTGGGGGACGTTAATACGCTCATGTTCATGCGTCAGGAAGCTAGGGCCCAGAGGGCTACAGTTGGGAACTTCCCTCGTTAGCTTTGCCAGAATAAACCATCAGGTGCTGAAGTGGATTCCTGCCCAGGGCTGCCTGGCTACCTAGCGTGTGCCCTTCTCGCCAAACTGGGTGGCCACTCTGTAGTGAGAAAATGTTTGTCATGTTGTCCTGTCCCTGTGTGACTTCTTCCAGAAACGGAGAGAATGGGACACGGCATAAACAAGATAGAAAACCACTGGGCCTTGAGGATGTGTTTTTTTATGTTAATTAGTGATTTATGATGATTTTACATTTTTATATTTAGTTTCTATCTCCTTTGGGAAATTTCTGAATGATTGGCTGGTTTCATTTCATCAGGAATGAAACCAGTGTCCTCAAGCAAGGGGCACGGAGGGGCCAGCCTGTCCGGGTGGAGCCAGGCCCTGCCACTGTTAGGACCTCTCCCCCCCCACAGGCCCCTTTGCCTGTCCCACTGCCTCGTCCAGGCTGAGACGGTACAGTGGTCCCTGGGGCGGGGGGGGGGGGGGGGGGGGGGGGGGGGGGGGTGACACCGTCCCTGGGAACCCGAGCGTGGCTGATACAGAGGTACTTGTGTTTACTCTTTTTGTATTAATCTTCGCTTACCTAACTCCTCGGTGTCCCTTTCGGCCACACTGGCGGCTCCCCGAAGCGGGGTCTGGAGCACCTTTCTTTCGCTGTATTTCCAGTGCCCGCCACATGGTGCGCACTTTCCCGCGGGGGGGTGCGCTCCGCCCATACGAACCTGCGTGCAGGAGATGAAACCAGCATATGAAAATGCGTAGGTTACGGGCATTTGGGGCAGAGATTGTGAGAGTAAACAGCAGGGACCCGTGCTTCATCTGCATGAGGAGACGGCCAGCCTGGGAGGGCCCCGTGGAGCCGCCTCGCTCATTTGTTCTTATGCTTTTATGTTCTTTTGTAAGGACTTTGCTAACACCCCTAACACGGCACCCCTAACGCGGTAACTTTTTTTAATTTTACCATCATAACAAGATTAACGTACGTTTTCATGTCAATTAACATAATTACATCATCATTAGAACACTTCACTATACGCGTCATGGTTTTAAGTCAGTCCTTTATTGTTGGTCGCTAGTTGACCAGTTGTTGACAGTACGAACCAGACTTTCTGTAGATAGTAAATATTTCAGGCTTTGTGAACCATTTTTGGTCTCTACCACATATTCTTTTTTTCCGTCACAAACTATGTGGGGTTTTTTTAAACGATCTTTTAAAAACGTAGAAACCATACTCAGATCCCTTGCAGAGACAGGCCCGCCTGCACTCGGTTCACCAGGCTGCGGTTCGCTGCCCCCCTGGCGTGAGCAGCTCTGTCGTGCGTCCCAGACAGCACTTGCCGTACGTCTGCCCCTGCCCGTGGCCTAAGCCGGTAGGCGTAGAATTAAGACCGTGGAGTAACGGATACCGGGTTTGAAGCTCTTCGTCAACACTATTAAATCCGCCCCCCCAGAGGTCATGCCGGCAGCCTCCTCACCGTCACTGCCTGGAAATTCCCTTTTTCCTCACAAAGATGGAATGTTTTGATTATTTTGATCTTTGCCATTTTGGGAGGAAATAAACGGTATCTAATTGTCATTTGAGGTTTTGTTTCTCAAATAAGTAGGGTGCTAAATATCTTTTCCTATTTATGAGCTTTTTATGTTCTTTATGAACTGTAATTATGTCCTTAGCCCCTTTTTCCATTGGGATGTTTGTTTTTCTTACAAGAGTTCTTAGCTAGAATTTATATGAAACTTTTTCCCCCAGTTTTCTTGGTTGTACTGTAAGGATTTTTGTTTTTCCTTTGTGTTTTGATGTTGTTCTGTAAAAGTTTGAGGTTTTTGTGCTTCACCACTGTCCTCAAATGTACTTTTGTTTTACAAGTTTTTCTTGTTATGAAATGCTTAAAACAGGCCTTCAGACTCACCAAGGTAACTCATCAGCTTTTTCTTCCACTGCTCAAAAAAAAATGTTTTTAGCGTTTATTTTTGAGGGACAGAGCGAGCAAGTGCGTGCACGCGCATGTGTGAATGGGGGCGGGGCAGAGAGAGAGGGAGACGCAGAGTCCGAAGCAGGCTCCAGGCTCCTAGCTGTCAGCCCAGAGCCCGACGCGGGGCTCGAACCCAGAGACCGTGAGATCGTGACTTGAGCTGAAGTTGGACGCTCAACTGACTGAGCCACCCAGGCGCCCCTCTTCCAGCACTCTTCTAAAGTTCTGTGTCATTTGTGTTTAATGCATCTGGAATACGAGTCTTAAGTGGGGATCCGACTGGGGTTTTCCAGATAGTTTGCCAGATGGATTCTGATGGAAGAATCTCTTTTTCCCCCACTGGTTTGCACTGCAGTAGCGGTCACATGTCAAACTCAGCCTGTGACGGGGGGGGGGCAATGCCCGGTAGCAGGTGGAGCTGGGTATTTCTTGTCTGTCTTGCCTTAGGGGGGTCGAGGCAGCAATTTGTGTTTGGAAAGCGTGTGTCAGAATCCGGGTCCGGGGTTCTGATTTGCTCTCTGTTATGGGGACCGAGGCTTAGAGGACGACCATCGACGGGGACAGGGGAGGTGTCTGTGCTGGCATCTAACTGTGGAGGGTGTAAAGGGACAAAGGGGGGGGCAGTTGCAGTCAGATACTTGGAGATCTAGTGAACACTAGGCGAGGTGACAAGAGTGTCGGGGACTCTCTAGACGGGAGGGAGCGGGCCTTCAGGTTCCCTCAGATTCATACAGCCCGGAGTGCCAGCCTGCCCCCGCCCCCGCCTGCAGGCCTCGCCGGAAACGCACAGCCACGGCATAGTTTCTGTCAAAGGCCTCCCACTTTACCTGCAGGAAAGCAAATTAGAGCATATTAAGTTGGTTGAAAACTCACTCTGAACCTAATCCTGTAATCTTTGGACACCTACATTTGCAGACCTGGATTAAGCCCTTGGGGAGTTTCTTGGTGTGATGATTTTTCGTGTCAGTAGAAAGATTTAGGAGGGTGCTGGAAAGTATGTCTGTTTTGTACAGACAAGACGGTGGAACTCTTCAAGGACTGGAAAAACGCAGGAGAGCCTTTGGGCGGTGAAATACTTTGTAGGTTAGTAACAGATAAACATCTGATTACGGAGACTTTACCAAAGAATAGCATCATAACCGCACGTGATACACTGGGAAGACGAAGACGTCGCCCCCTGTGACAAAGGGCTCCCACTTGAGTATCTGTGAGATGATGTGTCTGTGAGACTTGGCGAGGTGACCCTTGCATGCCTGACCAGCTCCGTCCCCGGGGGACCTGTCTCACGCACGGGAGCGGACACACGCGCTGGTCGAGCCCAGCCTGTGGGACGGGTGGGAGGCAGCCTGTGAATGCCCAGTCATGGGAACTGGCTCGTGAAATGCAAGTATCTGTGCCACGGCAGGCGAGGAACCCCAAAACCATCTGAAATGGTGAGAGATGCACGTGAAAAAGTAGAGCGCACACGCCCCCGTGCCTCTAAAGAAAAACGGATGTGCCGGAACACAGCTCTGCCTAGAAGAGAGGCTCGAGGTGCAGATCAGATGTGAATGCAGATTAATTCTGGGTGGGATCATCACATATCACAAAAGGAAAGATCTTGCCCTGTGTTTTTGTAGCTTTATTCCTCAAACAAGTCCAGAGTGCTTTTATCATGGAGTCACTTTAAAAGAACGGCTTTCTGCAAACATGCCTCCTCATAAGCGAAGTCCGTGTGCCTCACTCTCACATACTCGTTTTCATTCTCTCTCCCTCCCGTGAGTCTAAAGCAGACTAAGACATGGGTGTGGGACAGTGTACGTGCAGTAGCATCTTCAGAAACACCTGCACGGGGACCCAGCTACCACCGGAAGGAGCGGTGACCGCAGCCACAGCTCGGCAGCTTAGCACGCAGGGCCCCCGTGTGAACTGGGCCGGTGGCACAGCGTGGGCTCGTCCGCAGCCCCTGCGGGGGGGGGCGAGAGGGGGCCGAGGCCCAGCCACCAGCACCACGCGCCCGTGGGCCCCGGGACTTGTAGAAGGGTTGTGTTAGGGGTGCGGGCAGGCTTTGTCAGGGAGACTGGCACGTGTGGATGCGGCGTGAAGACCACTCCCGCGCGGGTGACACGAGCCGGTGTCCAGAGCTGAAGACTGGTTGGCCGTGCAAACAGTGGAACGAGGGCTAGATGGGGTCTGTGGCAGCAGGCATGATTTGGAGAGCCCGTGATCTCTTCCTTTCTCTCTGTGTTGCAGCCTCCCAAAGTGAAATGCCTGACCAGGATCTGGCACCCCAACATCACAGAGACGGGCGACATATGTCTAAGGTGGGTTTCTCTTCTTTCCCGTCTTCTGTGTTTGTGAGCACTGGACGTTCGGACATGTTGTCTCCGCTGAGAGAAGATTTTGAGGCTGGGCTAAGATCAGGGAGGTTTGGGAAACCGCCCTCAGGGCTTTGGGTTGCACTCTCCTGACCGGAGGGCCCCCCCACCCCCAGCCTGCCTCTGCCTCCAGCCCCACGTCCTCCTGGGCCCTCTGGTGGCCAAGACCGCTGCCGGTCCCGGTGCAGCCTGTCGCCCGCCCGAGATGCTCCCTCTGGGGCTCCTTGCCCTTTCTTCCCCTTCTGAGGTAGCGACAGGCTGCAGTCCCTCCGTGTGGCTGATTTGAGCCAAGAAGGCAACATGTGGTTAGTAAAATCCAGGGGAGGGGAAGCAGTGTAGATGTCCAGTTTAAGAAGACCTGGCCATTTGTACTTAAGATGCCCTCTCTTTACTGAAACAGTCTTGATGTGCATGAGCAGGACGACGTCCCAGAACTTCGTGTCACTTGTGGCCTGTGTGTGCCCCTCCCTCCCAGTGGGGGATGATCAGGGATCCGCGATTCCCCACTTCTTAAGGCTCATGTAGAGACCTGGAGAAGGCGTGTGGTTTGTTGTTTGTAAGTAAGTTTAGCACTTGGGCTTTGTCTTGGTGCGTCCTGCCAGTCTCTAGCGGGGGGGGTGTCGGTGCAGGGCCTCTGGTGCCAGACCGCCTCACGACGGCGCGGTGTGACTTCGGCAGGTTATGTAACCGTCAGCCGCGGCCTGCAGAGGGGGCGTTAGCATTTCCTCTGCTTCCCTCCTGCGATTCAGTCCCCCTTCTCCCTCAACGGTCAGCACCGGCTCCCAGGTCAGCTCGCATGTGGTGACCCCATTCTTGCATATCAGCCCCCTTTTTTATAGACAGTTAGAAACGCATTTTACAAGAGGCTCCCTTTTTCAAATCTGTCCTTTGAGTATCAACACTTCTAAAATCTGACTTCTCCAGGGGCGCCTGGGTGGCGCAGTCGGTTAAGCGTCCGACTTCACCCAGGTCACGATCTCGCGGTCCGTGAGTTCGAGCCCTGCATCGGGCTCTGGGCTGATGGCTCAGAGCCTGGAGCCTGTTTCTGATTCTGTGTCTCCCTCTCTCTCTGCCCCTCCCCCGTTCATGCTCTGTCTCTCTCTGTCCCAAAAATAAATAAAAACGTTGAAAAAAAAATTTAATAAAAAAAAATAAAATAAAATCTGACTTCTCCAGCGTTAGGTTGTACATGGTACCCACTCCGGCCTTGTCCCCTGAGGCCATTGCCGGGGCTCGCTCTCCGGGGGCTCTGCGCACTCCTTCTCTGTCCCGTCCCTTCCTCGGTAGCAATTAAGGCCAGAGCGGGAATTCCTCTCGTCACTTTTGCCGTCTTCTGAGAAATCACGTTCTAGCAAAGTATCAGGAGAGCTCGGCAGATGGCCGCCAGCAACAGACTCCAGAAACCTCAGAGGAAAAGCGTCGATAGATTTGGCCTCATTCAAATTAAGAACACAGAACACAGAAGTGAGAGGGAAAAGGTCAGCTGTGTTACATCCTTCGTATGGACGTGGTCTTTACCACTCGATACGAGAAAGGTGGACACAGCCAAGCGGAAAAACGAGCACCAGCTGCAAGTGACTCGTACGAGAGTCGCGGGTGGGCAGGTGGGAAGGCTCTGAGGGGTGTTTAGTCTCCGTGGTAACCAGCGAGGCGCCTGGAAACGACGAGGCGCCACTCACCACTCCTCAGACTGTCTGGTACGAAAGCAGACATCCGGTGGGATGTGAGGGAGGGGGAGAGAGCAGGCTGTCACATCACCATCACGGGAGGGCAGTTCTGTCTGGGTACTTTTGTTGGTCCTTCAGATCTGAGGTCTCCATTTAACTTACATTTACCCTTGGACTCGTCAGCTGCACTTGTAGGGATTTATTTGTGGGAAGTAAGGTACCAGATTTAAGTATAAAGACCTCATCTAGTGAAAAACTAGACCGCGTCCAGCGGTCTAGTGGCTTAGTCCACAGCTGACTTGTGGCGTCTCCTGAATAAAGAGAAAGACAAGCCTGGCCCACGCCCTCCTGGTCCGTAGTGAGTGCCGGGCACCAGTTACCTGGATCCCTCACTCAGCACCACTGACCGGTGCCTGCTGCCCTGGGGGCCTTGTCTGGTACACAGCGGTCCTTCCCTGTCTCTGTGAGTCTTGCTCTGCTCCCACCGGCGGCCCTGCCCTCCTCCTGGCTCAGGGTCAGAGGTGAGAGGTGCCGTGTCTGTGGGATTAGAGGGCCCCGGGCCTGGATTCCGGTGGTTGCACTCGAGACTTTTTGTCCTGGGGTCCAAGCTTCCAGCGTAGTCCCTGAGGCACCGTCTGCTCCCTTGGCTGCTGCCCTCGCTGATGGGCTGTCACCTGAGCTCCTGCAGGATTGCCACCTGCCGAGGCTGGGCTAGAACTTCCAGTGACCCTGTGCTCCCTCCACAGTGTCACTCTGCCCAGACCCGTGGCTTGCGACCATGGGCGCCGCCTGCCCGATTATGGGCACTCCCCGCTCCCGCCCCTGTCACTGCCCTTGCTGGGCGCACCTGGCCTCCGGGTTTAGAGCCCTCCTGCTCTGGCTGTGCTGTTGGCGGGGAAGCTCGAGGGTTCTGACTGGTCAGCCAGTTCAGCCGGCTTCCTTCCTTTCCTCCGCCCGTCAGCTGGTGGGGTGGTCCTGGCTTTATGGGGCTTGCCGGCTGGTGGGAGACAGGCGTTAAACAGGTAAACAAGTATATGATAAGGTCCATAAAAGAAGGATGAGAACAGCCAGGAAGGATTCTTCTCCCTGCCTCAGTGAAGAAATCTGTCACTGGATCGTATAAACACCAGGACCTGGCAGATGGTTTCCAGAAAGTTACTCACATCTGTACAGGTTTCATGTCAGGCACAGGCCTCTGCAGGGCAGAGCCTTCTTTTTAAGGCTCAGAGTAAGTGGTAGTGGTCAATTTAAGGTTTTGTTTATTCCAGAAAATCTTGGGCAATTAAGATTACAGCATATTTATATTTTCTCCTGATTGTAATTGATTTATCTGAACTTGAACACACTCCGATTCAAAAATTCTGTTCACAGTAACAGTTAAGACCCAGACAGCCAGATACTGAGAGCCTGACACCGACATGTGACCTTAAGAAATGTTAGGTACGGATCAGAGCAATGGTGCGATACAACTCAGCAATGCCAAACTAGGTTTTCCCCAGAAAGGAACTTGGCAATGAATTGTAGTTTTTCAAAGTATGGAAAAATCATTTATGTGAGAGTATCAAATGGCGTTTATAGCTGGTGGAACCGTGATGAAAAGGACCCTGAGGTCCAGCTTGAGAGATAGGGCCTCACGGTACCTCCAGAGCCGTGTGCCCCTTCTCTGAACACGGTCCTCCCACCCACTGCCGAGGACCATCCGGAGGTTTGGGTTAATCCACCTTTATCCTTCATTTTCTCCTTTTGAGCTTTTTAAAGACAAAAACAAACAGGGTATGAAAACGTGTGCTGGGAGCTGTCGTCAGGGTCAACCCGCAGCCCCCAGGGAGCTGCCCGGGTGCGGAGGACCATCATTGCCCATGCCCTTGGGCGTGTTGCTGCTGCGCGCCGTGCCTTCTCTCCTCCGTCCGACGGAGAGGTGGCCGTGCCTCCCTCGTGGGTCGCGGAGGCATTCAGTGAGGTCAGGGTCGTTGTGACGCACGCGTAGGAGGCCCTGACCGCTGGGTTGACAGGTGCGCGTGGTGTCTTAATTTAAGCTCCTGCGTGCGTCCAGGATTCGAGCCCTGCGTGGACAGGCAGCGAAGATGGTACGAGAGTTGGACTTGTGGGTGGACGGCCTCAGAGGTGGGGAAGGCCCTCGGCAGCGAGACGGAGGCTGCGAGGCCACGGGGGAGACGTGGGGCACGGGCAGGGCGTGGCGGCAGCGTCCGGCACATCGGCGGCTCGCGCGACTGGAGGCTGCCCTCGCTGACCACTGCGCCCTTCTGCGTTTCAGTTTACTGAGAGAACATTCGATCGACGGCACCGGCTGGGCTCCCACAAGGACGTTAAAGGTAGAGTGCAGTGCTCTTGACCGCGGGCCGGGAGGCCCCTCCCTCCGGGAACCCGTCTCCTTGCCGTCCTGTCCGCAGCCCACTCCCTCCTCACCCCCTGCCCGCCTGCCCGCCTGCCCGCCAGGGGTGCTCGGCCCAGCATCTGCCCCGGCCGGTTCCTCTGCCCCCACTTCTCTCCGGGGCAGTGGGGCGTTCCCGTTTTCTCCGCTCCCCTCTCCCCTGTACCATTTGGGCCTCAGCTCATTCACTGTTCTGCTCTTCCTCTGTCCCCAGTCTTGTGAAGTGCCTCGCTCTCAGAGGAGAGGGGAGGAGAGCAGCCGGGCGGGTAGAGGGGAAGGAGGGAGAGGACGGAAGTGGCCTCTGTTCCAAGTTACAGGGAGCTCGCTGGGACAGGCGGTGGGCCCTGAGGGAGGGGAACGGGGAGCTTGCTTCGGCGTAGGCTTGAGTTGGTTCTGGCGGTGAGCGTCATGGGCACCCCGTGAGACCGCCGGCTGTGGCTTCACCTCGAGGCCGTTCTGCCGTGGCATCCGCAGGACGCCTGCACCTTACTCGCCGCCTGATCTTTTCGTCAGAAGCAGTCAGAACTACCGGCCGGCGTCCGCTCCGTAGTGCGCCTGACTCCCGCCGTCGTTTCTGATGGGATACGAAACACGCAGCCGGAGCCCTTGCCCTGGCGCTGGGTTCCAGCCCGCGCGTCCCTCGGCCCGAGGCTCGGTCATCTGGACCAGGCCCGTTTTCCTTGGTGACCGTGTCCTGCTCTGACACTGACAGTCATAGCAGCTCAACCTGCAGGGGTCGTGGGCGTCCCGTCAGCGTGCTTGGGACGCTCTGACACTGGCGGGCGCGTTGCGCTGTGCCGTCTTCCTCCCTGTCCCCTCCCCTTGTCTTCCCATGTCTCAGGAGCGGTGTTTGCCCACACGTGTTAACTTTGGCTCAGTCATGCACGGCTTCCAGAAGCTGTCCTAACTAAAGCCACTTGTAAGTCCAAGTCTGTGCCAGATCCACAAAAAATAAGCATGGCTGGCAAGCGAGATGCTGCGTGGGATGCTGTCCCTTGGGTCACAAGGGTGACCCCGGGCAGGCCCGGGCCACGTGTGTGCAGGGCCCTCTCCCCACCATCCTTCACACACGAACTCTCTGGGCCCTGCCTGTGGAAAGAGCTGCTGTGGATGAACTGACCTCATTCGTTGTACGCCTACTTACTGGTTCACCTCATAGAGACCATCCTCACCCCCGTCCCCTGCTCTTAGCAGAGGACGCTGAGGCCCAGAGAGGCGTGCGTGGGCCACAGTGGACCACAGGTGACTGACTGCACTGGCTCTGGGGCCCTGTCTAACGCCGTGCGTGACCACACCTGGAGGGGGCAGCACCAAGTAGGCCCTTTGGGGGAGGGGCCCAGGGAAGGAGTTTGGGGCCCTGTCCCGGAGTCGGAGGCCGGAGGACACCGCGCACTTCCACAGGCCCGACCGCGGATCCTCCCGAGGTGTGGTCTGAGTATCGACTGGGGCTGAGAATCAGCCTGAAAAAAGACAAGGCTGGAGCTGACGGCAAGGAAGACTGAAAGGGAACCTGTGGTTGAGTCACAGATGGCCAGTCACTCCGGAGCGAACATAGTGGTTTTCCATTTTGTTTTAATGGACATTTCTGATCTTTGAACGTTAGGAAACGTTACTAGCCTTCCTTGATTTTTGAAATAATTAGAGCGAAATTGTTAGGAGGCCCGTGGGACCACGGGTAATGAGCTTACCTGCAGTCCCCAAGAGGCCACAGATGCAGAAACAACAAATTTTATTGTAAAGATGACTCTCCAGAAGTCTGGACTACATGAGAGGGTGGCGAGGACGAGGTGGTGTCGGTGGGTTTCTCCTGAGCAGATGCACCTGTCTTGGGCTGGGCCTCACCCGAGGGCACTTCACACGGTCCTTGATTCTGTGCTTCCTGCCCATACTGCTCACCTCCACGTTCCCAGAGCCTGTTGTCACACTGAAGAGAAGTTGTCGTCTTTTTTTTTTTTTCTAAGTTTCCATCTTGGGAAAAACGGAGCACGCGGAGGATAAATTCTGACATGGTGCAATCCCGATCTCTTTGTCGCGTGTTTGAAAGACTTAGTGCACGAGAGCCTGAAACTTGTTTTCTTCTTTCTTTCTCATTCCAGGATGTTGTTTGGGGATTAAACTCTTTGTTTACTGTAAGTACATTGACCAGAATCCTGAGTTTTTCTTGATTACCCTGCCTCCTGGTTTTAAACATCCCGTTAAGGATCACACAGAGGGATTGAAAACACAGTGCCCTGAGCAACATGCTGACCCCCTCGTTTCTGTCATATTCTTACTAGTTAGAGGAACAGTGACATGGGAACTGAGGGGGCTTTGGGGTAGCACATGGGGAAGGGGGGGACCCCGGGAGCCCTGCTGGAGTGGCTGTCTCGGCCCTCGGGCCGGGGCGGGGGCTGGTGCCATTCTGCTTTGTGTGGGCGGCCGTTCCTACGGGGGCACCTGGCCCGGCCCCACTTCGTGTGTGTCCTCACCGGCAGCCCTCTTCCCTCCCACGTGTCCTGGTTTGGGTGAAGGCGTATGTGGTCACACGACTTCTAGACTTCACAAACCTAGATCCGTACAGTTGTTGTCTCCTCAGTGACCAGCTGCCCAAGTTTACTATCCTCAGAAAACAGCATGTCACAGGCAGGGGGCATGGGGAGAAGCTAAAAGCTCGTATTTGAACTTTTTATATAATATTCTTTTGAGTTTTTACATTTTGGTCATAAAAGAGCTTTCTTTAAAAGAAATAAGCTTCAGGGGCGCTTGGGTGGCTCAGTCAGTTGAGCGTCCGACTTTGGCTCAAGTCACGGTCTCACGGTTCCTGGGTTCAAGCCCCGTGTTGGGCTCTGTGCTGGCAGCTCAGAACCTGGAACCTGCTTCAGATTCTGTGTCTCCCTCTCTCTGCCCCTCCCCTGCTTGGGCTCTGTCTCTCGCTCTCAAAAGTAAACATTAAAAAGAATTTTTTTAAAGAGATAAGCTTCAGAGATCTGTCTCTGCGGAGGGGAAAAAAAGCTGTGATCCTTTTAAACTCAACGTCCATGAAAATGAGCCCATCCTGGTCAGCCCACAGAACGGCGGGGTGTTGGAGGGGCAGCTTCCTGGTGCCACGGCAGGAGTGTGACGCAGCGTCCGGGATCACGGTGCTCTGCTCTTGCCTTCAGCAAGAATAAAAAGCCACGGAGCCTCGAAATGAGGCCCTCAAGCTCCCGCCTCCCTTTGCCTTCTCCTGTGATGTCCCCGGTAACCACCTGCGGCACCAGCCACAAAGCCCGCAGCTTCTGGCTTCGGGCCCCCCCTTAACCTAACCCTGAGAAGGCAGCGCTCAGGGGCACCGAGCCTCTGTCATTTGCTTGTGATTGTGGTTTGGCTTTTCCATTGCCGTGTATGGTTTACTTCTGAGCCGTGAGGGCTGCGGCGTGAGGGAAAATCCACCCAGCTGCTCGTGCTGCTGCTGCTTTGATTTAGCTCTTAATCTAGTGCAGCCCCCCGTCTCCAGTGCTCCAGGCCTCCCCAATTCTGAGGAGCCAACCAGAGTTGCCGATGAAGCCCGATGGTTATTCCAGCCAATGTACTCGTTTTAGGTCAGATACGTGGTAAGGAAGACAGAGAATTTTGTGTGTCTCGTGGTCTTTATATGCATCAGGTGTCTTGTGCGTGTGCGTTGTATTTTTGCCAGTGTGTGGGACTTACCGGTGATCTCTTACAGAGCATAGAGGCCTCTGTGTTTTCCTTGCAATATTTGTGACATATTGGTCATACCCTGTTATTTATTCCTAAGTCAGAAGTACAGTCCCCAAACTTAACATTTCTCCTGAAGAGAAGTACAGGCGTCTTTACAGCGGCCACGATGGCTCTGGAAAGCAGTGACTTCTCTGAAGGACAAATGTCACTACCTTGGTTTTTAAGAAGAGGTATCGGGCAATATAAAGATAAGGCACGGCCTCTGATTTGAAATCTTCGAGGAGAGAGGAGTAGCCATTCCAGAGTTTTCTTTTTTAAGATTTTATTTTTTTTAAGTAATGTCTCCGCCCAACCTGGGGCTCGATCTCACAACCCCAAGATCAAGAGTCACGTGCTCCACTGACTGAGCCCCCCCCGGAAACCCCCCAGGATTTTCTGAGGCAGAAAGGTCTGGGGGGATGGGCCTCCTGGCACTGTGGCGCTCACTTAGGCTCCACACGCCATTCCTGCTGGGTATGAGTGCCGTGCTGTGAAGGAGGGTTAATGGATAAAGAGAAGATCCAGTTAAGGTCAGCCTGGAAGGAAGCCACAGACTTGCAGCGGCAGAGATGTTCATCACAAAGTAAAGCAAGGAATGAGTTTTTGAAGACAAAAGAGTGGATTTTTATTCGGAAATGCTAACGAGAGTGGCTCTTTATCAAAAGTAGCATTAGAACTTAATGCGGTCACCATCCTCCATTTTCACCAAACGTTGGACAGTTGTATGTAAACATCCCCAGTCCCTCAGTCAGCCGTTCGCCCACATTTTGAAGAAGATACGCACACGTTCGGCACGCTTCCGTCCCGAGAGCCGTGAGCCGTGATGGAGTTTCTCTAGCTTGTCCCGTGGCTGATTAGCTTCCCATCTCCTGGTTCGTAAAGTGAACACACGTGACAGCGGAAGAACAGGTTCTTGCCATTGTTTACTTTGAGTTTTTCTCTCTTTAAGGATCTTTTGAATTTTGATGATCCGCTGAATATTGAGGCTGCAGAACATCACCTGCGGGACAAGGTAAGCTCGCGGCAGCGCCCTGGGTTGGTGGCTTTCTGTCTCTCGAGCAGATAAACACGAGGCTGAGAATGGTGGGTCTGGCCTGCAATTTAAAGCCATTGACAAGCAATTGGTAAGTAATGTCTGACCCAAGGTCAGACAGAAGGGTTTTTATTAGATGTGGTTTCCGAGTAGAATTCAGTCCGTGGGATTTAAAGCCAGTAACTGTCAGTTTTCCTGACGAACCGTGTGGGGCCCAGCGATCACCATCGCCCTGCCCGCCCTCCCATTGCACTTAGGCTCACACGCTCGCTTTGCGGTTTGGTTTTGCTCCAGCATAATTGGATCCTGTTTATTACTCTTAATCTTCAATTCCTTTTTTTTTTTTTTTTTTTTTAACTTTTTTCCTCCAAGTCTGTGAATAAACCATCACTCACTCATTTTAGGAACTAATGGTCCATAAAATGGCTCTACTGTACTTTTTTCAACCATTTCATTGTGGGCACTCAGGTTTTTCCCATGTTTTTTCCCCCCAACTATGACAGTGATGCAATAAATAAATATCCCTTGTACGCACATCCTTAAAAGTACACGAACAGAGTGTAGGAGCAGGAGTCAGGGTGACGGCCCTGTGACTGAGACGGGGCTGTGAGAGACTGATCGGCTTTAGTTGGGGCCAAGCCAACTAGCCAGTAAGGCCTAAGCAGACGCAGCTGCAGGGCTAACTTGGTTTAGTCGTAGAGCCTCGAGTTGCATTTTCTGAACCAGATTCCTCCCTGGTGAACCCTCCGCACCCCAGAAGTTAGCCACCCAGCGCTGTTACCGACACCCAGCCTGAACATGTGAGGTTCTAAACGCTGCGCTTAAGAGCGGGTGCTTCTGTGTATGTGAGGCCTGCTGCGTGTGTGTGCTGTTACCTACAACCTCGGGCAGAGGGGCGAAGAGAGGTGCTGCCTCAGCAGGGCCCCAAAGGGGGGCAGGAGTGCCCGCGAGAGCCGCGCCCCCCAGCACGGATCTGACACAGGCTCACGAGACCATGTGACGGGCACAGCAGGGGCCAGTGAGGCGTGCAGTGGGACCGCGGGGTCAGTGGGAGCTTCCGGTCAGGCAGAGGAGGCTGGGAGCAGCAGAGGCCTTCAGGAGGAGCTGGGGTGCGTGGGCCCCGGGCAGGGGTACCCCCCGACTGCTCTCACGGCTTGTGCTGCTTGGCAAAGCCTTGGTTTGTCCGCTGCACTGACGAGCCCTTGCGGGTGTGCTCCGGGCCCCATTCACATTGTCACTCCACTTGTCGCTGTCCCTGACAAGGGCTTCCCCACTCAACAGTGTGTCTTATAGAAACCTAGTCAGGGGGAGAAAGGGCTGATAAAGGGAATACTTCCAGGGCCACGTGGAGAAAGCCCTGTTACCCGTGGCCTATCCGTTTATTTCTCTTGGAAGGTTGCTTTCCATTCTTCTGATGAAATAAGGGGAAAACTTGCGTTTATAAGCTCTCAGCCCCAGTGAGCTGGACCTAAAGTCCTCCAACAGTGATGCCTCCACGTGAATTCTAGGAAGTGCCCCAGCCCCACCCACGTCCTCATGCCGAGTCATGATGACAGTGACTGAACTTTTCTCGTTACTTTATTTCGTGGCCATTGTTCCTCTAAAGTTTGGTGGTGGCCAATTCAGTGCCAGGTGAGGGGCTAATAACACTCAAGGATCTGTTGATGAACAATCACTGTCCCCAGGGAGTGCACATGCTAGTGAGCAGAGGGGGTGGGCGTTGGTGGGGCGGGAGGCGGTGATGGGTTCCCTGTCATATGTAGGGTGCTCAGAGAAAGCCTTTCTGATAAGATGAGTAGAGATCAGGTGTGAACCAAATGGATATCAGGGAAGAGCATTCTGGAGTGTTGACAGCAGCGCAAAGGCCCTGAGGCAGGAGTGTGCTGGGGTGTTCGGAGAAGACTTAGAGCAGAGTTGCAGGACAGCCGTGACATAGAGAGCAGCAGCAACCTTGAGTGGCCTTTCCGGACTCTGTCCCACACACTTCTCAAAGACCGTTCACTCTCCTGTTAATCTCCACGAGGGAGGGACTCTTGTTATCCCTGATTTGCTGCTGGGGAAGTAGTGCCACCAAGGGGGTAAGAGACTTGCCGGGAAGGGGCAGAGCCCAAGATGTGAACCCAGGCACGTGGGCCTTGCTCGGTGGGCCCTCAGGCAGGGGCGGAGGTGGGATGCACGAGGG